TTCGAGGTTGTTAGCAATATGAGTGGCAGTACATTGTTGGCACTGCACAAATGGCAACCATTTGATGTTTATTTGTCATTGCTCACAGAGGTGCATCAGCCACCTCTGACATTGTGATCATGCTTCCAGAACCACGTATCTACATACAGTTAAACCTGCCCTAACCAGACGCCCGTGGTGCAGCGGAAACTGTTCTGATATGACAATATTCCGCTTGACACAGGGATGCACGTTCGATCCACAGCCCTTTGGTGCAGGAACATTTCCCGGTCAATACGGGATTCCGCTTGGTATAGGAGCAAGCAAACACAGGTAGAATTGTACTTGCGAAACAACAATATGAGTATGACAGAACGGCATTAAGTTATGGGCGTGACTCTGGGCATGAAACAAAGCACTCGCCGGTGCTTGCAAACCCACGAGACCATTGTTCATCACCAATGGACTAATGGTTAGACAGTGTGGCAAGGCCCCCTACAGGGCCTACCCACTGGCGTGACGGAAGCCACCATATCTACAATGACCGCACAGTCCACCAACATGGGTGGATGCGAGTTAGGCACAGACATTGGCAAGGCACTCCTGCTTTTCGTGAAATTGCCCTGACCACACAAGGAAGGCACGACTCAGGGCAAGAAACAAAGCACTCGCTGGTGCTTGCAAACCCACGAGACCATCGTCCATGGATAGTGGATGGATGGATAGAGTGGTTAGAGTGCAGCAAGGCACGCGACAGGGCCTGCCCACTGTAGAGACCATCGTCCATCGACAGTGGACGAATGGTTAGAGTGTAGCAAGGCACGCGACAGGGCCTGCCCACTGGTTCGACCACCGTCCATCCGCAGTGATGGATGGTTAGAGTGTGGCAAGGCACGCGACAGGGCCTGCCCACTATACTAGTGAGACCATCATCCATCGACAGTGGACGGATGGTTTGAGTGTGGCAAGGCACGCGACAGGGCCTGCCCACTGCCGTGACAGAAGCCGCCACATATCCGCCATGTCCGCGTCGTCCATCGATGGGGTTGGATGCCCGTTACTTGTAGTTGTAGGTACAGAGGTTGGCAAGGCACTGGCCTGCCCAATGACGTGACGGAAGCCGTCTGTTGATGTTACGCGCTAAGCCCAAAGCCTTGGCAAGGCACTCGACAGAGCCTGTCGAACTCGTGAAGGCCGCCCTGACCCAATAGGGAAATCGTGACTCGGGGCATGAAACAAGGCACTCGTCGGTGCTTGCAAACTCACGGAACCATCGCAGCGTCGCCATCAGCATTGGCCGCCGAAAAGGCCGAAATTTCCATATCGGCACAAACTAGTTACTTCAGCACTTACCTACACGGACAGCACGACGATCCGGTAGGTACTAGTCCTAGGCCTGGACTGCGAGCTTCAGCTTCGGAGTCATCATTAGACAATAGACACTGCCATAGCGGCAGTAGAAGACTGAAGTCTCAAGGATACTAGACAAAGGAAAAAGGTAACCAATCAGCAAAGAAGCGAAAGAAAAGGCCAAAGAAAGCAAGAGGTGCTATAGGTGCAATCAACAGATCAAGGCCCGCGTGCATTTGCATTTTTAACCGAGGGAAATTTATGGAAAACTAGAGCGATTTGAGGCCAAACACACTGTCACATTCGAAGCCGAAGCTCCGAAGTGTAACCATGGTAACTGTCAACGTAGACTCTGCGCATGCGGTCTACCATGGTCTACAATATAACTATATTATAGTCCATGCCGCGATGGCATGCGCCAAGACCGAAAAAGTCGTCTAAAAGTTGTACTTTTTTTATGCAGATTAGCCACTTTTCGGAGCTGAATATATTCAAATCTTCGTTGAAAAATTGTCAAGAAATATTTAGATGTCTCGGGAGTCGTTTGCAGTTTTCTTTCCATTAGTGCCGGTTTGCGGAAGTTTTGCTTTCCGGACACCTTCATTGGGTCTTTGACCTTATGGACGTCAGTTGTAGTGGTCGTTACTCATTGTCTCGACGTCGCTGGGAGTGATCTTGTGGGAGCTGTCAAATATTCGTAAAAATCAGGCAAGTGGCAAAGAAAAATTCGCCAATTTTTTGGGCAAGGTAGTAATTAGACATCGATGCTTTCCTTTGACTTTCCACCGATGTGGAAACACTTCCAGAAGCGTTCATCGGTGTCCGGTTCTTGATGGGGTCGTGGTGGGGTTGTGGTGGCCTCCACGGTTTGGAACAAAACAAAACCAATGCATTGTCTGTAGTCACCAGTAGGAGACGTATTACATGGCAAAGAAACACGCCAGCACCCGTATTCACTCTTGAGGGGCCTGAGATAGAAGCCCACATCATCTTCGTTCAAATGACGAAGTTCTAACCAGGGTCTGCAGACCGCAATTTCAATGTCATTTTTGGTCCCTTGAAAAATGGCCTAGCCAATAGCCCATAGGTAGTTTATGCAGCATTGGCGTGTTCTTCGGGCTTGCAATCATGTTATATTCATCATGAACTCCTCTTGCAAGATTCGTGCGAAACTGAAAGTTGCAATGTACTCTCAGGACAGCTTGAAGTAAGTTTCAATTCTCAGAGAAGTGCAAAGGCCTAAGTGGAACGAACTTTAAACCGTCATCGTGAATGTCAATGGGAATGTGAGCCAAGAGTCCACAACCCCAAGGGAAAAGTGTGATGGACTCTTAGTATGATCTGTGCACAAAGAACTGCAGTTGAGTCATTGTTTTAGCAATATGGCTGCGTTCTGAGTTATAGCACATTCTTAGACTCTTATTGTACTGGAGTGTGCACTTTATAACACGTGTACATGTATATAACAAAAGCTGACTTACAGAATGGTACAAAATGATATGCCCCATTCTCAGCTTTGGTTTCTGGCGTTCTTTTCATTATTAGTATTTCAGGCTGCGTGTTCTTTAAAGGGGAAGTTAAGCCTAAAATCAAATTCTCACCAGTTGTAGTCTTCGGGCGCTGAGTCGGATGGTCTTGGTCCGAGGAAGCTGAGACGCTCCCTTCCTCCTTTATTCCCAATCGATCTCGCGCACTTCCACCGAAACTGGGTGACTGCGCCCTACTAGATGGGGATTTGTAGGCAAAATGTCACTAAAAGTGCCATTTCGTTCTTATAAAAGCCCGGATGACCAGGATCGGCCCATATGTTGTAGTCTTTTGGACGCTCAGTCGACTGGTTTTGGTCCGAAAAGGCTGCGATGTAGCGTTCGGCCCTTATTCCCAATCGAACATGGCTGAACAAGCGGTCACGTGCTCCTGCGTACACAAGTTACCTAGTCACCGTGCCAGCAGGCGACAACTTTCACACCAAGGTTCAAGGTTCAACTCGAGTGATAGAAACTCGCTCAAACATGCTGTAAGTTGTAGCCAGCAGGCACGGTGACCAGGTGACTGGTGTACGCACGAGCACGTGACCGCTTGTTCAGCCATGTTCGATTGGGAATAAGGGCCGAATGCTACATCGCAGCCTTTTCGGACCAAAACCAGTCGACCCAGCGTCCAAAAGACTACAACATATGGACCAATCGCGGTCATCCGGGCTTTTATAAGAACGAAATGGCGCTTTTAATGACATTTTGCCTACAAATCCCCATGTAGTAGGGCGCAGTCACCCAGTTTCGGTGGAAGTGCGCGAGATCGATTGGGAATAAAGGAGGAAGGGAGTGTCTCAGCTTCCTCGGACCAAGACCATTCGACTCGGCACCCCGAAGACTACAACTGGTGAAAATTTGATTCCAGGCTTTACTTCGCCTTTATAGCGAGGCTCTACTGTACATGTAAATGTAATGTAAAGAACTTGGTGTGCCCCCATGAATTTCTACCTGTAAACAACTTCAGCACATATACCAGAATACAGCGCTGAATCCGGGGGGGGGGGGGGGGGGGGAGGGGGACTTTACATTATTTCACTTGCAAACACATTGCACGTTACATGCAATTTCGATTCCTTCACTGTAGATCTCAGGGGCGTGCTTGGCGAGGGGCACAGGGGGCAAGTGCACCCCCCAAAATATTTCGACCAGGGTTTTGAAAAGTCACCAATGTATTGCGGGAAGCCCGACCTCGCCGGAGCACATCCTGCACCTGTGTCTTGTAGATTGTACTAGTAAGTTGTAGTGCAGTAGGGGCCTGGTGCGCGGCGGCCTACATGCAGCCAGGCAGTCCCGTACGTACAGCCTGTCAAGTGTCATTATCAGATTGCACGACATCGCGAAAAGATGCAACCACAGTGGCACACAAACGTCAGCGCTTGAAAGGAAAGAGAACGGAAGGGAAGGCACAGTGCCGTCGACAAACAGATTTGCGGGCTGTCGGTACGTGTTGGTAAGGACTACGGCGAGTGCGGGGCAGAGGTGTTGAACATTCAGGAGACACACAGAACGGTTTAAGCGATTGAACGCGTTGGAAGCGTCTGCAAAGAGAATACCCTCTGTGTCGTCCTGCTGGAAGGCATGGATTGCTGCCTCTATGCCTGACTCTTGGCCCCCACAGAGCTGGAGACAACCGACCGACTGGATTATGTCCACCTTGGTGACTTTGAGGATGGCTTTGCTGATAATCCGTCGCACAACCTCGCCAATCGGCCAGACTCCGGGGTCCTTATCAAGGGCAATGAGGCGGCAGGCAAGGAAGGCATCGAAGGAAGTACAGTGAGAAGGAAGTAAAGCAGGTCACATGAAAGTGCGTAGCATTCCCACGTGTAAGCTAACACGCACTACAAATCACGTATCACAGGCACAGGGCCTAGGGGACAACTACAAACTGTGAACTACGCACACATTCAAATACAGCTGTAGACACGCACTGCATGAATCTACAAGTACTCGTACAAACTGTGCAGGTCAGCGACACCTTCAACATCTGCTGGAACAATGGCACAAGGGAGTACTAAGAGTAAGAAAACGTAACATTCCCTCCCTCATGAGCGAATCTAATGCCTATACGCTATTGGGCATAACCGTAACTTGATACACGGCATTAACTAACAACGGTGAGCATGCCAGTTAATGTCACTCATTAAGATCACTTAGCGGGACTTCGGCAGAGGCTGGGAGAGTCACCTTGACTGCTGACAGTTCCACATCTAGGGGCACCAAGCGGTGGACGCTGCGCTTGTACACCTTCCCTTTGACCTTCACATCCACTACGCGCACCTTCCCGTCCTTTCCAGGATACGTAGCGACCACTCGACCAAGCGGCCACTGAGTCCTGGGAAGCGATTCGTCCAGCATCATCAGGATTTTGCCGACTGTAACCGATGCACTATCACGGTCACACTTCGTCTCCAAATTGGCTCGAGCAACAATCTCGCGGAGCCACCTCTTCCAAATGCGCTTCATCAGATCCTGGAGCAACTGCCAGCGACGATGCAGACCCCCCCCCCCCTCCGGGGTTGCTTCCAACGCTGTTGCAACTCTCGAATGGCCAACCAAGAAATGCAAAGGCGTTAGCGGCTCCAGGTCTTCACTCTTCTCCGAAAGCGTTGCCAATGGCCGCGAGTTGATGACAGCCTCGGCCTGCACCAATACTGTCTGGAGCTCTTCTTCAGTTAAACCAGCCTTGTACAGCACAGTCTGGAGAACTTGCTTCATGGAGCGCACGATCCGTTCGAACACGCCGCCGAAATGAGAAGAACGAGGCGGATTGAATTTCCATTCAATACCTTGGCCTGCATACTCCGATGTGAGGTCGGCATGGTCAAGCTGGGCGACTGCCTCCCTCAGCTCTCGCTCTGTCGCAACAAAATTGCTTCCATTATCAGTAAGCAACATCTCGGGTGTGCCGCGACGCCTGCAGAATCTCGTCAGGGCCATCTTGAAGCCAGTCGTGTCGAGAGAGGTAACCAGCTCCAAGTGACACGCTTGAGATTGCAGACACGTGAACACTGCCACATACCTCTTCTCTTGTGTATGTCCTCGACCTCTCTTCACTAGAAATGGTCCGGCGAAGTCCACAGCGGTGCGGGCGAATGCCAGAAGTGTTCCTTGCGTGCAGAGGTCTGGGAGAGGACCCATCCTGGGAGTGGCTGGTTTGCGCCACACCTTCTGACATCCCACGCAGTGGTGCCGATGTGACTTCACCATTTTCTTGCCCTTCACAAGCCAGTAGTGATCGGCGAGATTGGACAGGATGTGATTCGTGCCAATGCTGTGTCGGCATCGCTCATCCTCTCTCCGAATGATCAGCTCTGTCGCTCGGTGTCGAGGTGGTAGAATAATTGGCGACCGAAACTCAGATGCCAAGTGGTAAGCCGTACGCAGTCTCCCACTAACTCTTAATACGGGGTATCCAGTCTAGTGGTGAAACGGTTACCCTTTAAGGTAACAAACGGGTACCTGGCTTAAAGGGGAAGTATACCCTAAAATCAAATTTTCACCAGTTGTAGTCTTCGGGGTGCTGAGTCGAATGGTCTTGGTCCGAGGAAGCTGAGACGCTCCCTTCCTACTTGAATCCCAATCGAACTCGCGCACTTCCACCGAAACTGGGTGACTGCGCCCTACTAGATGGGGATTTGTATGCAAAATGTCACTAAAAGCGCCATTTCTTTCTTATAAAAGCACGGATGACCGCGATTGGCCCATATGTTGTAGTCTTTTGGACGCTGAGTCGACTGGTTTTGGTCCGAAAAGGCTGCGATGCAGCGTTCCTCCTTTATTCCCAATCGAACATGGTTGAAGAAGCGGTCACGTGCTCCTGCGTACACCAGTCAGCTGGTCACCGTGCCTGCAGGGTACATCTTACTAGCCTGTTTGACCTTTTTTGGGTGCAGTCCTGTCACTCGAGTTGAACTCGAGTTGAACCTTGGTGTGAAAGTTGTCGCCTGCTGGCGCGGTGACCAGGTGATTTGGGCACCCAGGAGCACGTGACCGCTTGTTCAACCATGTTCGATTGGGAATAAAGGAGGAACGCTGCATCGCAGCCTTTTCGGACCAAAACCAGTCGACTCAGCGTCCAAAAGACTACAACATATGGGCCAATCGCGGTCATCCGTGCTTTTATAAGAAAGAAATGGCGCTTTTAGTGACATTTTGCATACAAATCCCCATCTAGTAGGGCGCAGTCACCCAGTTTCGGTGGAAGTGCGCGAGTTCGATTGGGATTCAAGTAGGAAGGGAGCGTCGCAGCTTCCTCGGACCAAGACCATTCGACTCAGCACCCAGAAGACTACAACTGGTGAAAATTTGATTTTAGGGTATACTTCCCCTTTAACGGGCGGGTTATCGGGTACCCTTTAGCAAGCCATACACTTTTTACAAGAACCTTGCCACTGCATTGCCACTGCATTGTCACTGCATTGTCACTGCATTGCCACTGCATTGTCACTGCATTGTCACTGCATTGCCACTGCATTGTCACTGCATTGCCACTGTATTGTCACTGCATTGCCACTGCATTGTCACTGCATTGCCACTGCATTGTCACTGCATTGCCACTGCATTGTCACTGCATTGCCACTGCATTGTCACTGCATTGCCACTGGTTATGATCGTAAGCACAAAGCCTCTTTTAGGCCACCCTTTCTTTTTTCGTTGTTTAACGTCCGCGCCCGCGTACCTTTTTGCCTCCGACCGAAAAAACCCCAAGAAAGTAGTAGTACCAATAATATGCGAAGTTGTAAATACATGATTGTGTAGTTTCACAGTGTGACGATCATGACCTTAAACTTATAATCTTGCCTCCCGGGCATGCCTTTGTCTTGTGTTCTTTTTCTTTTTTTGTTGGCTTTTAAATATCGTACGGTGTGTGTCCTAGTAAAAATCCAGATGTAATGAATTCATGACATGCTAACTCCATGCTATGTACCTGTTTTGTTGGATTCATCAGGCATGTGCTCCAATGTACCATCAAAGAGTGTTGTTCTATGCCTGCAAGTGCCGTTAGACCCAGAAATATTGTATATATCACATGCTTTACTGGTCAAAATGTTTGATTGGGGTTTCCAGTTTTTGGAATGGGCTTTTGTTTTTTTTTCGCCCTCCCGCGTACCTTTTCGCGAAAAAAGGACGTTAAACAATGAATTAACAAAGGGTGGCCTTACGGGCATGGGAGAGAGAGCATGAACTATCTATGATTCAATTGGCTGTGAAGGAAGATCTGGCAGTGAAGGTTCATCATCGTCTTCGACTGCAGCCAAGACAAGTGGCATGGCCGGCTTCGGTGGAGCAGGAACTCGTACATCGATGATGTGGGCGCTCTTGTGCAGAAAGACTTGTGCATCGATCATTTCTGCAGACAACTTGCTCCGGCGCTTGTCGACGATCTGCCCAGCAAAGGAAAACACGCACTCAGATGCAACAGAAGTTGCTGGAATGCACAAGTACTTCCGTGCGAGTGGAGCCAGGCGGGGAAATCGGGCAGCATTTGTGCTCCACCACAACAGAGGGTCAACAGAGCGCTTGACTGGCTTTTCAGCCAGATAAGCTGCTACATCTGCTTCGATGGATCCCTCGCTATCCTCATCCTCACTGTCGTTGCAAAGCAGCTGATCCAGGAGGCAGCGGCGTTTTGCTGGTGGCTCGGAGCTGGAGCTTGAAGATTCCGTGCAGGGCGAGCAGCCGACACTTGCGTAGCTGATGAGCGTTTGCTGCACTTCATGTTGCTGCTCCAAGTCGAGGAACTTCAGAGCCCGAAACCGAGGGTCCAAAGCAGCAGCAAGCACTGCCTCTCCGTTGACATCTAAGCCATCCAAATGAAAGCGCTTTGTTTTACTATCCGCAAATGCCTGCTTCACGCGTACGCATGCCACTACCAGCAGATCGTCATCATCTCCGGTCTGGCAATGGGACTTCAGTGCCGTCAGTAGGGGAAGAAGCCAGGACAGGGTTGAGTACTGCTCACCGCCCAAAGATGTCGTCACCTGGTCCACCGACCTCAGGAAATCGAGGAGATGTTCAGCAGTGGCCCACTGGTCTGCGGACAAGTCCATGGAGCGGCGATCTTTGTCTGGCATATCCGCAAGGACCAACTGCACAGGCACTTTGAGCTGGACAAGACGATCCAACATCAGGTACACACTGTTCCATCTCGTTGCACAATCCTGAATCAGGTGCTTCACTTTCTTTGCACCAACCAGATGTTGCTTATCTTCAAGCTGGCCAGTTTTCAAGGCGGAATGCTTGAAATGTCCAACTAAGTGGCGGCACTTTGCAAACAGGTTTGATAAGGTCTTCTTATCCAGGGCGTCTCGTAACGCATTTTGAATTCGGTGAGCTGCACAGACAAGGGATGGCCAATTCAACTCTTCCCACAAGATACGGCCTGGAGTTGCACAAAAACAAAGAACAAAGAGCTCCATTATTGCTACGGTAAGTGAATGAATTTCCATATTTCAACACTTTATTTGTTGGTTCCCTTGCCACATGCATGCATGGTATGTGTGTGTGTGTGTGTGTGTGTGTGGTATGTATGTATGTATGTATGTATGTATGTATGTATGTATGTGCAAAGGATACATCTGTTTAGCAGCGTGACTTATTCAAACTGCACACTCTGTCCACCAAGTCAAATGCACTACTAATACTATCATTCTAGTTACCTGGCACTCATCTCTAAAATGCAATTCTATAAAATTAATTAGTATAATGGTTGTAGTTCCATGCTTACCTGCATAATCCACGTTCGCCGCCTGGTCATGCACAATGCCACAGATTTTGGCTGGATCGACATCATATTTGCGCACAGCGGACTCTATCTGCTCACTGATGCGAACACCTATGTGGGAACCAGGGAACTCAGTTGTCTCCAACGTGCATGATGCCATTTTCCAGCTCGCGTCCACGAAATGCGCTGTAGTCGTGGCGAATGCATGCGTTGCCTTGGACGTCCAAATGTCGGTGGTCAATGCAACATAGCTTACGTCGGCCAGCTTCCCCTTCAAAAGAGTCACACCGTCGGCGTGATCCTTGCGGACAAGTTTAGCAATAATGGTTCTCGAAGGAAGCACATATCCGGGCTCAACAAAATCGAACAGCTCCTTTAGGCCAGAGTCCGTGACTAGGCTGAGCGGCCGCCCATCTAGCCAGGTCCACCGTGGCAGGATCTTGGTGATGGCCATTGCACGAGGAACCGACATAACCCGCACTTTGGCCGCTTTCGCCTGAGGGAACTTCGCGATGGTCAGCTGAGAGTCCACTTTCTTGGCAGTGCTGGTCTGCTCCACGAAGTCAGAGGGGTGGCGATTTTTCAGGTGCCTCTGCAAGTTCGATGTCGAGGAGCCATCGTACTTCAGCACATCCTCACACAATAAACACTTCGCTTGATGGCCCTCGACATCGCGAGTGAAGAATTTCCACACTGCGGAACGTGCCTGGCGACTGAACGGAGTCGATGCGCTCGAAGGAGCTTGAGACAGAGTCACAGAGTTCGACATCGCAAACTTGCAAAGACAACCTAAACACTTCAGTTCAAACAAACACACAAGGAGACGACTCGACTTGTTCAAAACTTGCTCCAACAGGCGCGGCAACACTGAAGAGTATTTCCCACAACAACGAATCTCATCCGGGTGAGTCTCGACGGTACGGTTCCAGCAGCGGTTGGAAACTATTATTTTTTTAGAGACGACAGTTACTAGTACCTTCCGGATTTCGCGCCAGGATGACATGCAAGTACGAGTGACAAGCATTGCATGCACAGCGCTACATGCAAAACGGTCACATGTAGCAAGATCGATCAAGAACAACACGCTCAAACTGTACATCAAACTGTGCGATGTACGACTGTGCAAGTCAGCACCGTACCATACTGTCGTACACGACTAACGGTTACTCGTTTGCTAACGGATCAGCAGCTAAACAGACGGGTACCCGGATCACCCGTTTCACCCCTAGTATCCACTCTGTCCGTCGATGCGCGGTTGCAACTTGAGAAGAGGGGCACTGCTTGGCAACTCCTTCCCTTTTCTCAGTGTGCTCGTCACTTCACCATAGCTCTCATCTTGAGCATGCATGACCCAATAGTGCTCTGCTCTTTCAAACTCAGCTGGTGAGAGCTCGGGCACGGCAACCTCCTTGCTGTTCTTGATTGCAATCTTCACACGGGCGTTGCTGAGCGTTAGCTGTGGCAGTCGGCTCTTGCGGCGATTGTGTATGGCACGCATGCACCAAGCCGTGACCCGCACAAGACGGCTCCACGAGGAATAGTTGTTTGGACTTAGCCGCAACGGTGGTGACATCATTGCCGTCATCGTGATTTCAGGAGTCTTGAGCATTTGTGGTAGCTCCTTCGGCACGACTATCCTGCGATCTGGCCATTCGCTCTGTTGCTGTGCCAGAAACGTTGGTCGCTCTCCTCTGCCAGCTGTGTGACTGTCATCCCACGGGTGGGGAGATCAGCTGGATTTCTGACTCCGGGAACATGATGCCAGTTCCGTGCCAAAGACTGCTGTTGGATCTCCGATATCCGGTTTCCAACTTCCACCTTGAACTTTCGGCTGGGTGATCAAATCCAATATTGGACATTCATGGAATCGCTCCAGTAGTGGCTGTCGGCTGCTCTCACACCAAGAGCTTGGCTAACGTACGTCCCAAGACGCACACCCAGGACCGCTCCCTGCAGCTCTAGCATCGGAATGGATCGACGCTTGATCGGTGCTGGTCTTGCCTTGGCCATCACCAGGGTAACCTTCGCTGTACCATCTGGTCGCTCTGCTCGGACGTATGACGCAGTGGCGTAGGCCCGTTCTGATGCGTCGGTGAACGTGTGCACACTCAGACCCATCGACGTTGTGCTATCTTGAACACAGCGATCAATGCGTAGCTGTGTTAGCTTAGGCATCTCAGCAAACCATTCTTGCCAAGCTACCGCCGTCTCTTCAGGCAGTGGGTCGTCCCAGCCGAGCCCCGCAAGACATAGTTACTGGAACAACAACTTGCTCCTGATGGTGAATGGTGCTAGTTGCCCTCAGGGGTCAAACAGTGATGCCATGCGGCTGAGGACGGTGCGCTTCGTGCACACAGCGGATGTGGGTTCCTGATAGTGAAACGTGAAATAATCTTCGCTGACCATCCACGTTACGCCCAGTGCCTTTTGTGAGGGCTGTCCGGACGACTCTTGTGCCGTTATGGACTTAGACGTGGCCGGCGCGCGGTGCTCCGGTGGAATTGATTCCATCACTGCTTCACTGTTGCTCAACCACTTCCGGAGATGGAAGCCGCCTTCCTTCAGGAGGTCTTGTAGCTGAGACCGAAGACGCATTGCTTTCTGGTCGTCAGGCAAGGACTTCAACATGTCATCGACGTAGAATGCCTTGCGAACTGTGTCACTGACTGCTGGGTCGTAGTTCGCTCCGAAACGCTCGGCCGTCTCCAGCAAAGCTCTGCCTGCTAGGTATGGCGATGCACGGATGCCAAACGCCAACCTGGTGAACTCATAGGCCTTGACTCCGTCCCCGGTCTTCCAAAGAAATCGGTGATATCTGCGATCCTCAGGCTGTAGTGATACCTGAAGGAACATCTCCGACACATCAGCAATCAGTGCCACAGGGTGCATGCAGAACCGGATCAGTACTGTGACGAGGTCATTCTGCAGTCGCGGCCCAACGTACATGTGTTCATTGATGGACGTGCCGTTGAAGCGAGCTGCAGCATCAAACACAACACGGACCTTAGTTGTAGCCTTGTCTTCGCGGACTACTGCGAAGTGCGGCAGAAACCATTGCTCACGGCCACATTGCTGGACTTGATCAGATGTCAGCTCCTGAATGTACGCCTTCTGTAGGTACTCCTCCAGCACCTTTGCATAGCGAATCTGAACGGTTGGTCTTCTCTCTAGAGACCTCAGTAGCGAACGCAGCCGATCCTCGGCCTGCACTCGGTTGCTCGTGATCTGAGGACGCGCTCCATTCTGCCAGGGAATACCGACAACAAGTCGACCATCTGCGTACCCTAGCTGCTGTCGAGTCATTTCCTCAGCATGGCGTTCGTCAGGTGACAGGTAGCTCTCAGCAGACGGTTGCATGCCGCCCGCTTCCAAGTCCCAGAAGTTACGGACAAGCGAGTCGAAGCCTGTCTGTGTTAGTTCCAGGACATGATGGGTGTGCTGGACAGAGCTGTCTTGTATGGCTGAACCGAAACAGACTCATCCCAAGGGTGTGCGCCTTGCAATGGGCTCACCTGCCTTGCCAATCCGTTCTTCCTGTGCACTGTGCAGTGCTGCTGAATTTAGCCCGATTAGGATGTCGATGGCGCGTTGATTGCTTGCAGCAGGGAAATCAATGTCTGCTAGATGTGGCCACTGGTGACGCAGACGGCTCCAATCAGCAACGTGCACGTCGCTTGTGATCTTTGGCAGCACATATGCCTCAACTTCTGATATCTCCTGGCTGTCATGTTGATGAAGGGACAGAGACACCACCTCGCGCTCGCCTGAGAGAACTTGACCGCCTAGCACGCCAACATGCACTGGCTTGCGCTCTCCTCGCAGCCGTAGTCGGTGTGCAAGCCTCTCTGTGACAAAGCTGCATGTTGATCCAGAGTCAAGAAGGACGTTGGCTGTGGCAGTCACTGTTCCATTAGCAACCCTCACCGGTATCGTCATGAAGGAGGTCAAGCCGGCCTCGTAGTCATTGGCTGGCTGGGATTCGCTGTTCGCGTGGTGGCTAGCCTCTTTTCGCGTAGGTGGTGATGGTGTAAAACTGCCTTGTCGTTCACGGTGCAGTAGATGATGATGCTTGCCTTGACACCCTCGGCACACCACTGCCATGCAGTCTCGTGCCCAGTGCCCATCTCCCAGGCAGTTGACGCATAGGCGTAGGTTCCGGATCGTGTCATTTCTCTTTTGCACGGGCAGACTCTTGACTTCGCCACAATCTGCAATATGGTGTGCACCCTCGCACTTACCACAGGCATGGCTGTTGTCTGTATGCTGTCTTTGCACTGAGGCAGCTTGCTCTTTTCTAGAGTTGCTGCGGCTGCTAGAAGCGACCAAGTTACGTTTCGGCCCAGGCTGTGACGAGTCGCTTGATCGTGGAGTCCCAGGACTGGAGATAAACGTGCGCTCCCTGACTCCAATTGCCTGCTGGGTAACGGCCGATTACTCTTGTTTTGGTGCTCCTTGGGCTGCAGTGATACTGGTGGGCGGTCTCCCAGGCCAATTCGTTCCTCAACACGCATCTGCTTCTGGACGTGTGTTATTAGGAATTGCGAGAATGCCTGTATGTCACAGCTGGAATCATCGTATCGATCGAAGTAGCGTGCCAGGAGCCGTCGAGGAATCTTCCGGGTTAGCGCCAGGTATAACTCTCTGCCTCTGCACCTGGACTGCTTCCATGTTAAGCAGGGTATTGCGGAGCCGAATGGCGAACTTTTTCAGCTGGCTGACGTCACGCTCATTGGTCAAGACTGGCCACTCCATGAGCTCTCTTTCCTGGTTGTTCAGCTCTCGGTCTTGGCCACCGTACCAGCGTTCCAACTCGGCCATGATTGCTTTATATGCGCCAGGCCCATCCAAGACATCAGCAATCAGCTCCTCTGAAGAACCATCAGCAAGGGCCTCCCTCAGATGCGCAAGCTTGTGATTCTCCGACATTGCGTAACTGTCGTCAATCAGCCGAAGGAAACGCTGCCGCCACTTCAGGTAGCTTTTCACCTTCCCATCAAACTTGGGCAGCTCTAACGCCTTCAGGTGACTGGTAACAGCATAAGGCGAGTTCCATGACATGAATCCAGGCGATGCCATCTGGTGTCCAGGCAGTGCCAGCTGAGGCCGGTCCAGGCAACAGTGTTTGCTTCGCTGGTTGGAACGGCACTGCTCCAGGGTTGAGTGAGAGTGTCTCCGTCATGGCACTGCACAGTGAAGCTGTTTGCTCGGCTTTGTCCTTGTTCTTCTGTCGTTTTCCGATTTTTTCTTCTTCGGAGTCATTAGCCTTCTCGGTGCAGCGGGGCTTGGCTGGGCCTGTCCACTTGCTCCCAGCAGCATTGGACGCACGGCGCTACCAAGCACATGGACTTGCTGCAGCTGCTGCTGCTGTGGCGACGGCGGCTGCTGCTGCTGCATATGTACTGGCTGGGGCTGCAGCTGGTGCCGCATAGCTACTGGCTGGCTAATGCAGGCAGCTCCGCCTCCGGACGCAACTCCTGCGTTGGCCAGAGCACGTGTAGCAACACGCCTGGAAGCAGGCCCATAGTGACTAACAGTACTACTATCAGTGTGGCTGTTATCACTTTCACCACTACTGGCGTTAGTTGTAGTTCCAGTAGTTGTAGAGTCACCAGCAGTATCACTACTTGAGGCGCTACTGGATGACACATAGTGATCTGACTCTTCAGACACACCGCCAACGACGTTTGGGACATTCTGCGATAGCTGAGCAGCTGCTGTTCCTGCTACTAGTGTATTCACATGTTCAACACTGGGGCGCGCGAGTGGTAACGGAGGATTAGTCGTAAACCTACTACCGGTAACTGCACTGTCCGACTCCGCTCGTGGTGGCATACAAGATCGCAGAGTCGGACTTGCGCCGTCACGACTTCGTTGGAAGACCACGTCCCCGTCCGAAGCGATTTCTCTACGAGGCGACGGGCTAGCTCCTGCCGCCGACTCGTGCGCAGATTTTTCTTCGGAACGAGCTTGCTCCAAGGCTTGCCGTTTCTGCTGGACAGCTAACTTACTCTGCAGAACTTGTTCCTACAGTGCAGCAATCTCTTCTGCCGCTCGCACTTCGGCCTCTGCCCTTTTTCTGGCCACTCGAGCTCTCTCCAATTCTACAAGTTCAGTGTTCCCAGGACTGGCACGAGTACTCGAGCGCTCACTTCCAGAAAATCCATATCGCCTGGGTTCCTTTCCTTTCGTCGATCTGTGGCTGATACGCCGCTCCTCACTCATGGCGCCGACTCTCAGCAACCACGGAAAGCCAAAAGGATCCCGTCGGAGGTGCCAGTTTATGTTACTTTTCCTCAGCGCCCAGGTCAACACACTTTCGTCAACACCGGGTTTCCGCACACAATCGAATCACAGTTCAGTTTTACTCCACTCCGGAGAACACAATTCTTCAGACCCATGGAACATAGGAAAATCACAACAGCTCGAATGTAGAGCTCTCGTCCAACACAACAAGAAGCCAAAAACATTACCACGCGGCGAGCAACATGCGCATGCGAACAACTCACAGGACTAACAAAGGCACATGCTTCCAAAACCACACTCCGGGGACCCCCTTGGGCCGGAAATTAAATCCCGGTATAAGGATCACCCGCACAGTAGAGAGTTTTCGCACGGCGTTCAACGCGCTCACTTGACGCGTTCGAAGGTCACGTGCCACGTTCAGAAGCGAGGTAAACGCGCGTTGCCAACGTGGAACGCGGCCTCATCACGTTGGCACTTGATGGCCCAGCACGTGCGATTTACGCAAAGTTCTAATGGTTCACCATGTTCACCTGCTGCGAAAGCTCTTTTCAAGTGCGTCACGCACGTGAATAGCCTCACGTTCGGCCTTTTCACGTTGCACGCCGTGCGAAAACTCTCTAATATCGCAATGTACATGCCAAGTGACCCCCCCCCCCCCGGGGCCCCGGGCTCCGAAGGATCACCCCACAATACAAGAAGTTTTTTTTTTTTTTTTTACGAGTGTGGTCCGGCCTCTTGTACGGGCAGAATTAAGTAACACAGTGATACAATAAAAACAAGTACCAGTAGTTACCATATTGGTTACATACATGGACCATACGAGAAAAAGCAATGATGACGAGGCATAAACAAGTGTCTAGTGCTGTATGGCAGCTTCCGAGACAGCGAGTCGAGCGGATGACTCAGCCACCTCCGGGTGCGAATACAGCCGTCGTGCACCACGCAGGCAAGCCACGCCTGCACGGAGAAGGGCGAAGCTGAACCTGTAGCGGATCCATGCCATCACTGCAGAGTATGGCTCACCAGATTTGTCGGAGACCATTGCAGCTATTCTCTTGAGGAGAGCGGCAGCAGCTCGACCAGTACCACCAGTTGCAGCGAAAACCACAGGGATGAAGGTTCCACGCTCGACCTCCTTGACGCGCTGTTCGTATCGCCTCCGTTTTTCACGTTCATGACGCTGGTAGCAAGCGGTGATGGAAGAGGATCGATTTGAGGGAGCAAAGGGGTTGAAAACCCGAATATCGAGAAAGACTCTCTCAAACCGACCTCCCCAAACACCACTCGCCGCAACATCAAGTCGAGCCTGGTCCTCTGTGGAGGCAGTCTTGTAGCGGAGCTGCTCACCAGAGAGCGGTTGTAAGTGTGGCTCGATAGCGACACTATTGGCGACACGTTTCAATAGCGAGGCAGTGATGTCCCGCACCTCATTGTGTCGAAGTGACGGGAAACCTCCGGTGCTGCATGTCAGGGCATGGGCTACTGTGAAGCTGGCTCCACAGACACAGGTTGACGGTAAGCGAGAAGGCCGCCAGCCATAGCGCAGTGCCAAACCATCGCGGAACTCGCTTTTGGATAGCACAAATCCATGACGGGATAGCGGACGACAAGTAAGCCAGCTGGAGGCGCCAGGCTCACTTGCCAACTGAATTGTGTGCTGCAAAGTGGGCGATGCGTCGGCAGCGAAGCCACGGATGTCGGTCTTCGCTTTCTGGCGGTGATCTGCACGCTGTGACGCTTTGGCTGAGGCAATGCTGGCAAGAGCCAAGAAGTACAATTTTTTTTATATTTTTTTTTACAAGAAGTACAATCATGTACATGTACTTTGGATTTTGATTTGGCCCATATTTGTACTCATGCACGAGCTACCTGCTGCTACAAACAAATCCACGCTGCAGCGCGGCGCTGCGATGATGGGTCCGAAGTTCACTAGAAAAACTCTGCACCGTGTCCGGTTCTGGCCCTGATCGCGTGCTAGCCGGCTTTTTGTTGACCTAAAATCAAGGTCAGCAAGCTTTGAAACCGAAGAAGAAGCAAGACTGCAAGTAAAGAGCATGGTATATACAGAAGCCTTGCTTGGTAGTTTAACATGTTTTTCGATTTTGACAGCATGT